CTGGTAACCAGTGACGGGCCAGAGGAGGGGCCCCGGCCGCCAGCCAGCCAGCCAGCTCGCGCGCCTGCGCACTGGGAGGAACGCTGGCTACCCTTCCCCCCTCCTCCCCGGGAGATGGAATGCGTGCGCGGGTTCGCTTGCCGCCCTCCCTGCGCGCATGCTCCGTTGGCCGCGGTTCTGTAATCGCTCGCGTAGGCTAGGCATGGAAAAGGTTAGGTGTACCGTACAGTATTTCGGAGTGACTTGCTCACGCTGATCAGAAAGCGCGATTGTGGGTTTTTTTTGTTTGTTTGTTTTTTGCTACTCTTACGCGGCGCTGGTGAAGCGGAACTACACTCCTTTTTTCCACCTTGGTCCAGTTGTTGTGAGGCGCGTTAGGTGTGAATGTCGTTAAGCGCGCTTGCCTGGTGGGACAAGAGCGTGGGTTGTGCAAAAGGGCGGAAGTCATCAGGCGCACCAGGGTCATCAAATGAAGGAAAACAAAATACGTACAGTACAGTATTCGTTTGTGGAAGAGGTAGCCGTGTAAGTCAGTGCAAGAATATCACACAAAATCCAAAGGGGAAAAAAAAACAAAGAGAGGTGTCAGCAAAGCTAAAATCAGCCACGTCCCACACTAAAACTAAACAAAATCACCCAAAATACATACAAAGCAACAAGGCATAACAATCTATTTTAAAAACTGCCTTCTTTCAGCTACTTTCTATGTCTTTTCATTACTGTATCAGGATCGTCTCTCGTCTCTGAAGAGGCATGGAAAAATTTCCCTTTTCCCTCCCGTAGGGCAAAGCTTTCAGGGTGTGGATTCTAGAGACAGGAGTCCGGGATGACTTCTTTGAACTATTCAGGTGGCAATTGTTTTCCCCAGGCCATTTTGACCTGCTTAACATCTTCCTGGCTACTTGATCTGGCCAAGTATGTCACATATCACAGGATACCGACTTCCCTGGGGCAACCTTCCTGGAGGCCCTTTGACATGGATGTTTCTTCTGATTTCCATTCTCACAGGAACTAAAGACACAATCCTATAAGGAGTCAGAATTATCAAGGTATCATTTAGGCATCCCATCCATTTCTCCTTGAACATCCAGTCACTTAAGGGAAAGTTAGGTATGGAGTTTTATGCACATTTCCTTCCAGGTTCTGCTTCAGCTGAGTTGGAGGTGAGTTAAATATTCAGAAAATCATTCCAAGTTCATCCAGTGGTTTTATCAAGCAGTCAGAAGGTTGGTAGTACCACTATGCACTGTGCTTTGACATAATCATGGCCTGCCCCAGAGTTACTGTAAAAAAAGCATTCTTCTTGATGGCTCTCTCTCTCTCTCTCTCTCTCACACACACACACACACACACACACACTTCACCTGTCTGGTAAAAGACTTATGGTTAATCTGTTAAGTTTTATTTAATAAATATATACTGGCAATCCTAAAACACTGTGATTATGTATTTGATTTTGATTGTTATGTATAAAGCACTTCACAGTTTGGGACCACATTATTTGTCATCTACCAAACCCACCAGATCCTCCCAGTCCATGCTCCTCTGGGTGGCCACCTGCCCAAAGGCAGGGCCTTCTCCATGGTGGCTCCAGTTTTATGCAATCAACTCCCAAAGGAGCTATGCCTGGCGCCTTCCTATTTGTTATTAAGAAGGAATCTCAAGTCCTTTCTAGGGAGGACTTTCATATTGACCCAGTTTGATATTTCATTCATCTCCCGTCCTGCCCACTTCTGTAAATTGTTTTGGTGCCATCTTGTTTTTATATGGTGAGGGTTTAAAATATTTTTCTGTAAATTGTTTTGGTGCCATCTGGTTTTTTATATGGTGAGGGTTTTAAATATTTGTTTGTTCTGGTATTGTTTTTAACCTGTGGTTCACTGCCCAGAATAGTGCTTTCACACTAATAGGGCAGTGTACAAATATAATAAATAAATATTCATTTTGGATCCCTTTTGTTATATAGTATGTGGATTTTGAGGGATAGAATTCCTTCTGTTGCCAGCTGCTTTGTGATGTAATAGCACATCTGGCACATTAATGGGTTTTCTAGGGCTGAATACAACTTCAGGACATGTTTTACCTGTTGAAGTTTTGCCCAATTTGAATCACACTAATGTAAAGCAGTATCACATCTTTCACATCTCTAAATGTGCAAAATTCCAAAGTGTGTGACACATTATTTAGTGTATTGTGCTATAAGAGAATCTGCCTATATCTCAGAAGTCTGTGGTTGTGAAATTCTCTCTGGCACTGCAAATGCTGGAAACATGTTTAAGCTAATGGTTGCCATGGCAAAGAAGAAAAGATAAAAGGCAGAGAGAGTGGGAACAACTTGTATGTTCCTGTTAATATATTTAACATTTAGGAATCTGGAAATGTCTGTTTAAAGCATGGAGATATGTTACGTAGAAGGCTGAATTCAATGGATCAGAGCTCATCCTTTGGGAAAGGAGGTAACAGGTCAGTTGTAAAGTAAGAGGTTGTGAGGAGGTGTCTCTTTTCAAACACAGTTGTGTTCTACAGTATCTTACTCTTCCTATCCCTTCTTCCATCCCCTCTGAAGCTGCCAATCACATTTAGTAACTATCCTTAATGTATTACTCTATTCCATCTAAATGTCAGAGTTTTGAATCCTGATTTGTTAACAAACTGTAATTTCTCCAAGCCATATATTACTGGCTTTGGATGATCAGAAGTTTGTAATCTCCATATTCACTATAAAGTGTGACTGTGTGAGCCTGAGACTCTGCTTAACTGTGGAATGCTAAACAATGGCTTAGTGTTACACCTGAATAGAACTGGTGTCATACTACGGTAGTGTCCGCTCCAGTGCATATGTAGACCATCTTTTTAGTAGTTTTGCTTCTAGTCCACTGAATTGAGAAGCAGGTGACAGCAGGCTTGAGCATAGGCACTGTATACATTAGAATCATAGAATTGCAGAGTTGGAAGAGACCACAGGGGCCATCACGTCCAACCCCCTGTCATGCAGGAACTCCATCAAAGCACTCCCAACGGATGGCCATCCAGCCTCTGCTCAAAAACCTCCAAAGAAAGAGACTCTGAGGCAGCATATTCCACTGCCGACCTAAAATTCAGGTGGGATCTCTTTTCTTGTAGTTTGAAACCACTGCTCCTTGTCCTAGTGTCTGGAGCCATGGAAAACAAACCTGTCCTTTCATCAACATAACACCAAATATTTAAACATGTCTATCATGTGGTGCTGGAGGAGACTCTTGAGAGTCCCCTGGACTGCAAAGACAACAAACCTATCCATTTTGAAGGAAGTCAACCCTGAATGCTCATTGGAAGGACAGATCCTGAAGATGAGGCTCCAATACTTTGGCCATCTCATGAGAAGACTCCCTGGAAAAGACCCTGATGTCAGGAAAATGTGAAGGCAAGAGGAGAAGGGGATGACAGAGGATGATGTGGTTAGACAGTGTCACTGAAGCTACCAACATGAATTTGACCCAACTCCGGGAGGCAATGGAAGATAGGAGGGCCTGGCGTGCTCTGGTCTATGGGGGTCACGAAGGGACACAACTTAACGACTAAACAACAACATTATGTCCCCTCTTAACCTTCTTTTTGTAAGGCTAAACATTCCCAGCTCCCTAAGCCACTCCT